GAAAATGCCACTACTCAGAATATATTTTTTATTAGGATCCCATCTTTTTCTGCTTACAGTTCACTGCATTTTTAAATCTCGGCCGTAGGAGTGAGTTTAGAAGTGAGAGTATTGCATAACTAGGCTTGCACTTTGAGCTGTAGGATCTTTAGCTTTGACTTGACAGGTTGAAAGAAGAAGCCACTGCTGCTTTTGTTTTTTAAAATAATGTTGTCTGCATATAGGCCATTTCTTGTTTACTCTCAACAAAAGTATCACTACTGGGGCAATTCACAGCAATGCAAGATTTTCAAGCAGGTTATTGAGCAAGAAGTGCATTAAAAAGGATGTGTTCCCAGCAGCAACTTGCCCCTATCCAATTGCCCCTGAATGAAGCTGAATCAGAAGATACAGCTCAGTTGCTATTGGACAGTCCGTCCATGGTAGCAGAGTAGAGCTAATCTGAAGAGAACACCACCAGAAATGTATCTGGTTCAATTGTTAAGTCCTCAGCACCATCTGTTCCACTTGCAAATCTGCTCCAACCGAGCCATGCTACCTGCTAACATTGGCATAGACTGAATTGTTCGCTGATAAATCTGTGTTGTGTAGTTCTGTTTGTAGAAATTGTGAGCACAGAAATGTCTTCTTTCTTTTCCAAAACTGGGTGAGGAAAATGTTTGTAACATGGTAAGATTACTTACTGAATTTGAAGTGTATTTGCTGAAGTCTCTTCATTTTTAAGTGATACACTGTTATCAATGCATTCTGACTGTTGCAGTAACTCCTAAACCCCTACGGTTGGAGAGCAGTAGACGCTGTACATGAAATGGGAGTTATTTATGTTGCCAAAGCATGGTATCCAGCGTTGAGAACAGCAAAGTTAAGGGTATTATTAATCTCAACTCTGATAGCAATAGGTCAGTTAATAGGGCTTCCCGGTACGCTGATCCTCTCATCATGGGAGTGGTGGAAATGTGTAATTAAACTCCATACCACAGAGTGTGCTGGAGCTCTCACTTTCAGGATTGAATGCTTAACATGTGTCAAACTCCTCTATGTTTAAAGCAGGGTGAGGCAGAGGGGGAGAGCACTGGGGAAGGGAAGAAGCTCTGAACAAGCAACAAAATTTTAAAAACCCCAATGCCATCTCGTAGAGAGCTGGAGATGTTGTTAGCTTTGATTAAGAGTACAGACCTGAGGAGAGTATGAAAATGGAATACAAATACAGAGTCCATCCACAGTGATGAAAAATGGCTAAGCAGGTCAAGAATTAAAGGGTAAAGGTACTTGATTTTTGCCTTGCAGATAAGATTCCCTGCTCATATGCAAACTGTGCACTCAGTTTGGGAGGAGCTTAGATCTGCCTTGGGTTTTCTCTTCAACAAGTTTTATCTGAGAGGTGTTGGGTTTTTTTTTTTCTGCAAACATGACTTTTTGTGTGTGTTGAGGAGGTTATTGATCATTTTACATAGATGCAGTCTTGCAATAAAAGCAGTTATTTAGCTACAGGAATATTTAAAGTACACTAAAGCTAACCTGTCATAGTACAGCTTCAGCTGCTATGTAGCACTGCTGGGTGCTGTGTTTATAAATAACACTCCTAAATGGTGCAAGAAGTATTGGACTACTTCTGTTGCTTTTGCTTGCTTCCTAGTTTGTGTCCAGTTTTCAGATCACTTAAAAATAAAAATGGTACAAAAAACCTATAGAAACCTATTGCCCTTCCTTCCATGTTTAAGAGGAGTTTGTCAAGTGGCTTTTTATGAACATGTACCAAAAATACTTCACAGCTTCTGAGAACTCTGCTGCCTGTGGGTTTCTTGCTTTGAGTATAGTTAAAAGAATCAATTCAGGTGTCTTGGGGATGGGAAAGACCTGCTCAGGATTCAAACCCAACCATGCCAGGGGTTAAGCATTGCCTTTCTCAGATGTATTAATTAATCAAATACATTGGTCAAACTTTTCTCTCTTGAAACTGAAGATTTACCAGTTGTTGCAACAGGACATGAACTCCCTTGAGTTAAGTTTCTGTCATTGCTTCTGCTGTTTCCCATTGCTCTCCTACTCTTGTAAAATGTGCCTGGTGTTTTTACTGTTCTTCTTTCAGGTTTCATGATCTGGAGAGATTCCTAGTCAGCCTGGTCTTGTCTCAAAGATCACTTAAAAATTTTGGCTTCTGAAAGGGATTCTTACTCCTTCTCCCTCTTCCTCAGCCCACACCCCCTTAAGCTCAATAGAAAAAAAAACCACCAACCCTCATTTTCTCCTAGTCATCTGTTTGACAGCTGCTCTGTAGAAACTTGTGAATATAAATCTTTTTTTGCAGTGACGGGGGAGTATGCAAATCATAATTCGGAAAAGAGTTCGCTGCAAGTGCACAGGGAAAAAGCTCAGTTTGAGTTGCCTGTTGATCTGTGCTCACAATGCAATACTAGGCTTGTTCACTCTTGACACCTTAACAAACTATCAAGGCTTGTTAAGCTCATTGGGTTAAAGGAGGTAGCTGAAGTTTAGGGAGCAGAGACCCAGATCTTTGATGGCAGGAGCTGTTGTGGACATACTTGCTTAATTTCTCAGGAAAATGGGTGAGATGTCTCTAGAGAGCAATTTCTTACAACAGTGTTGTGTTTCATTCTTCTACTCTGTGGCATAGTGTGCTCTTGTTGTATTAAGTAAGGCACATGCCCTGGAGAAGGCTGGCTGGCCAGTGTCTACAGCTCTGGAGAGGTTTGGAGGTGTGGAGCAGAATTGTCTCTCAGCACTTTAGGCCGGCACTACGACAACTGATCATATGCGGTGTTTAAAAATCCTTACAGTGGGAAGCATATCCGAGAGTCATAAGCAGTCTTAGTGAAGTTTATCTCATGTATCCTTTCTGCCTCTGGAGTCCTAGGTCTGTGGCAGAAACTCAAATTGAGGAAATTTGCATGTCATGACTCTTGTCTGAAAACATGACAGTCCTGGATGGTATGGGAGAGGAAAGGAGCCTGCAGAAGGCAGACTTTGCTTTATGTTGCTGGTTTTGTTTCATGCTTTTCTTGTCATGATAATTGTTGGCAGGATTGAGCAGCTCTTTGAAAAGAGAGCTGGAATATATACCTTGAAGGGATTTATAGCTTGTCACGTGGTCAGGATCCTAAGGCCCAAGTTGTGTTACATGGTTAAGAGTGTCATCCTCTGCAATATTTGGATATGCAGGAAAGGAGTATTTTCCTGATTATCTGGCTTATGATCTCTGGAGAAATCTGTATTTTATGTAACAGACTTGTCCACAAGTAAAAATGCTTTTCCTTATCCTACTTGTTATATATAGTACCCACCAAACTAATGCTTTGATATGTTATATCATAATTTGGCACGGAACTAGACTGACAAATTTGAGGAAAATTGTGAGAAGATTCTTTGGAGTGCCAGTCCACTTTTTTAACATATCCTTAGCACCAGCTGGCAGTTCTTTTCATTCCCTAGCAACTGGCTTAATTTCAGTACTGTCTTGATGAGGATAAGGATGGATGTTTTTAATGAAAGGAAGGATCTCCTGTATGCTTCTAGATCTCTCGCTAGAGAGGATGGAGACATTGTGACACAGCCCCATCCATTCATCAGGATTTTGTCCTGTTCTTGACCCTTTTGGATACAGTTGACAATCCTCTTGTCACTATCCCCTTTAGCAAAGCAACCCACAATGTTTATGTTCTGGAGAAGCTACTGGCATAGTTTTTTAAAGAAAAAACAAGAAAGCACCTGGCAGCAGACAGCTGTGACTGAGATACTCTTTGGGATGGACTGCTACTTCAGCAGGTTTTGGTTACTATTTAGAGTGTGTGAGAGAGTGACTAATTTTGCAATAATTTCTCTGGGGTTTTGCAGCCAAGAGCAGTAGCATATGCTGAAAGCAGTATATGGCAGGAACGGTGTCTACTACAGTTTGGGTTTGCTTTTTTCAGAAGCAGTGAGGATTGCATTGAGCTGTTCACCATTCAGTGTTGTACCTGGTTTCTGCTGAAGGATTTTCCAAAGGGGTTAGAAATTGATGTCTTGAGCTGTTGCCTTTCTTCCTGGAACTTGCTATTGGATCATTTGACAGTCTTGCCAGGTTTGAAAGAAAACATACAAACATGCAGCCTTTTTGCCAGGAAATTTTTCCTTTCTGATTTTGGACAAGATTCTCTCTTCTCCAGAGCTGGTCATACATTACCTGACCAAAACACTGGTTGGAAATAAGGTGATGTTGTTGTTGTTTTTAGTTTTAGAGATGATGTGGACTGTACTATTAACCTGCCTTCCACAGTACGAAGTTTATCTTGTTGATTGGTGATCTTATCATTTAGACTTTGCTGGGACTTACGTGGTTAGTGTAATCTACTGCATATCATACCTCCTTCTGTTCTTTGATACCTGTTCACTAAATTGGGAAGTGAAGGTTGATGAACGGCACTGAGTCTCTTAAGAACTTAGACTTAACTAAAGGAGGAGTCATTACTGGAATGTTGAGGTAACTGTTAGTTTGGTAAGGTACTGCATGCAATCTGTATGGCACTGGCACTTGTCCTAAGCAAGTTCTGGTAGCTTCAGTTGAATAAAAATGTCGGATTTTTGCTCTGATAGAGGATTTTTAATGTACTGTGTTCTTGCTTATTGTGCAATTTCTTTATATCTAGAAATGCTGAGCTCCAGCAGTCCGTGGCAGTACTAGTTACTTACCAAATGGATTCTGTCATCAGGACACAGGAGCCTACTTAGGTTTCAGTTTTGTACAAGGAAGGGAGATCTGTTAGTGACTGAAGTCTAGCACTGTTGGTAGATTCATTAACATGCACCTGCTCTTTTGCAGATTCAGAATCTGAAAAATCATTAAGTGGGTTTGAAACAGCAGCAACCTACTCATTAGAGGACAGCATGGATCCGAAAGATGCAATAACTTCAAGCGTGTCTGAAGACAAGGTTTGTGGCAGTGGGGAATCGCTGTCTAATGGCATCAAAAAACACAGGTAGGATATTATCTGTTCTTAAGATATTTTAATGTACATTAATGGTAAATAAAAGACTACAGGAATGTCTGAAAAACTAACTGAAAACTTCTAAAACTTTGTTAGGGATGATCAACAAATAAGTTGGTTGTGCTATAACTTTATAAAGGATGTTTTTCCAAGGCTAGTGTGCTCTTTGCATCTTGTTTATGATGATGCTATCTGAATAAGTAAAAATAAAATACAGTGTGCTGTGTAAAAATGGGCACACTTGTTTTTTATTAGATCTTATTGAAATCTATGTGGATTTTAATTCCTTCATGTATCTTTAATGACCTATACCTCCTATTGCCGCTTTAATTTCCAGTCATTTGATCCTTCTGTTGGTATCAGGAATGAATGAAAAATATTGCTAGCCTGGCATCAGAAACTCAAATGTGAACAAAGGGAGTCTTATTCTAAAAGTCTCATCCATGTTTTATGTGCTTATTTTGTGTTGTCAAATGATCCATTTTTGTTTGTTTCCTTGCTGATAAAGGAGGACAGTAGGTCTGGAGTTAATGAGATGTAACAGACACCACTATTCTCCAGTTTCAGTGAAAGGGCAATATAACATTTGTGCTATAGATCAAGCCAGACATCAGCATGTTTCAAAAAGGCTGCTTTGGGAGTGTATTGGATGTGTGGAATGATGATGGGGACACCAGATTTCTGTAAAAACAGGAAATTAATATTTAATTTTACAGAAACAAGCCAGACATGCTTTAATTGCTTGGCAGCTTAAATAGTTAAATTGCAGTGACTGTTGAACTATGTGGCAATGTCACAGACCTGATGTTTCAAGGTTCAACCTCTGCAGGTCCCATACTAAGTAAAGACTAAGGCAAAGCTGGGTGGAGTTATGGGTGGTTTGGGAAGATAACATAAAGCAGCTGACTAAGCCTGTTGCTTTGCGCTCTTGTGCTGTTAGCAAGCTGGTATTTATGGCCTTGGCTAGGTGCCTTCCCTAATTAGAGCAGGAAGTTTGTGGGTGGGGGGGGAGGTGGACATCTGAATTGCATTCACTGCCTTGGAAACAATGAGGAGAAAGGAGACAATTCATGATCAACATGAAAATTATGAGATGCATGTTGACTTGCATTGTCTTGGAGTTTTAACAGGAATTGATCATTCATTATAAAAAAAGAAGTAACTGGGCAAGTTTTTGTAGTGCTGCACTGTGCTGTCAGAACTGTAGGGAGCAGATGACTGGAGGAGCATTTCAGATCTGCTGGTTTTATAAAGGGTAATGAAAAGTAATAGACACGAATCCAGATCTAAGTTGTTTCTCTGAGTTGCATGTCTTTTAGTAGTAAAGAGAGTGTAGGATGTTGGAGTAAAATTAGTGCATAAATTAGTTTGTTAATAATCTACTGCTAAAGAAAAGTTTTCTTTAAAATCTGTTTTGTATATAGATCACAATGTATAGCCATATTTTATGTGACTAATTGGCTATAGAGCACATTATAGTTTGAGCTGTAATGTCAGGCACTTTTACCTGGCACCTTGGTGTCACATTGGGATTTGTCTGCAAATATATTGATGCTCTTTGTCCCCAGAGCAGCTCAGGCAATTTAAAGTTTACCTCCAAGAGAACCTTCTCAGGGGATGGGAGTTGTGTGCTGTTTCTGGCCTCATTTCTGAGGCTGTTTGTCGTGGTGCAACATCAGTTTGATGTGACCTAAGAACCATGTTACCTACCTGGAGCTCCAGTTTGTGCCTCTTCTGGTTTGGGGACTGATTAGTGTGTGTCTGGTCAAATATACATTGTCTGTGATGCCACCTGTGTCCTTCTTGGAGCAGAAACTGTAACCTCTTGATATTGTGCAAAGTGAGGGGTTCAGAGTGTTTTGACAACACTTAATTTCATCTTTCCACCCTTGGGTTTGCATTAACATTGGTTTTATTTAACTTCTGTTTGTGTTAACTGTGTGGAAACAAGTTACCTAGAAAACAGACCAGATTAATTTCTTTTGCGTAAAATCTTTATACCTTCCTGTAGTTCCTCAGATGAATGGAGGATCTGCAGTTGCACTTAGGTTGTGCATGAGAGTACATAATGCTATTTCACAATCAGTATAAGTAAGACCATTTCCTATCTTCATCTAGAAAACCTGAGCTCTAATCTGTGCTTCTTATTTGAGTGGTGGAGAGTTTTACACATGGAGGTGGAGGTTGTTTTTTGATTGGAGGTGGGAGACATGTATTGGTTTTGGAAATGCAGGAATAAATCTG